AAGGTTGTCGCCAAGAAAGAGGAGTACACCGCAGTCAACGACAATTCCGACTCCCTCCTGCCGCCGGAGTAAACCAGATCGTCTCCTAGCACCGCCGCCACCAGAACTGTTTGCCTGCGTCACTGAGAGAGAAAGAGAGAGTTCGCAACTGGAGGGTTTCGTCATAGGTGCCAGACTGATTTGACGCCGGAAAGAGGAGAAACGCCGGAGTACGTTGTAGGTCTACGTGTTGACTGTCTGCCGACTTCCACACAAGCTGGAGGAGGGGGAAACTGAGTGTTGTGACGTTGTCTTCGCCGGAGTTTACCACCTGGGGGGGAAACACCGCTGATATTCTGCCATCATCGAGGGAGCGGTCGCCGCCTTTCCTTTGCTCACCGGAGATGACGAACCTGTATGTACGTAACTTCATTTGACGTAATACTCGGCATGTTATTACTCCGTACTACTATATGTTATTATATACTATTGGGCCGGATTTCTTTTATTTTAATCGTGGGCCGACTATAGTCATAACTTGGGCTGGCCGATGAATAAGGCAATGGACTGATCTGGTTATCTTGTGAAGTGATTTGATTGGCTGGATTGAATTTTAAAAGTCATAATAATAATAAAACCAAATGGATAAAGGGAAACTTTAAGTGAAGGGGAAGAGGAATTTAACCATAAGTTGATATTGATACTATAGTTTTAATATTGTTAGAAGGTAGATTGGTGAGGAGCAAAGTAGAAAAATTGCCTAGAATATTTGGAGCATGAGGTAAGTTTCACGTAAACCAAAATTATACTTTTCCTCGTAATTCTATGTATGATTATTCTTGAAATTATTTGAGTATTTTATGAGATTTCTAGTATTTACATTCGAGTATTTGGAATTTCTTGTGGATTGTTATTGAGAATTATATTTGAGATTTGAGTATGAGATATTGGATCATATTTTTGAGTATTTGAGTTATCGTATTGTTGTGTTTTAGTCCAACATAAACTAATAGATATAGATATAATTTGGTATAACACTCGATTTTTACGTGGAAACTCAGAAAGGGAGAAAACCACGAGACTTTTTAGGCTAACATCCAAGCCCGCTCTTTCTCATTATTACACTCCTCACCATTTACATAGTACAAATCTTCAACCTCCATTAATGGAGTTTTCACTAATCTAAGAAGAAGAAGAAGAAGAAGAAGAAGAAGAAGCAGGGAGCCAGAGCTCCTGAGCTCCTAGGAGAGGAAGAGTCCAAGAAAAGAAGATCCTCTTTAAGGAAGAGCCCTCCTCCTATTTATAGGAAGGAGGGGAAAGCCCTCCCATACTAATGGGCCGAATGGGCCTTATTGGGCCTAAACAATCCCTAAGCGGGCCGAGGGGGGCTAAATGGTTCTATGTGGGCCCGAGGGGCCTAAATGGGCCTCGCCGACTGGGCTCCATACTAGGGTGATGCCTTGGGCCTCTCAACAGTAACAGGCCGGGATAATATATCCAACACAAGTCCCACAGTTTCTTGAGTAGTGAGCCTTTGAATCTACTCGAGAAAGTATACTCTTGCTCACGTTCTTCCTTGCCTTCCTTGAATCGACGTCTCCGAATAGTCTTAGACGCAAGGCATGCATAAGTGATTGGTGAGATGCAGTCCCTACGCTAGGCACAACGGCAGTAAAGAGCCAGCCGCTCGTGCTGCATAAAGTGGCGGTTGCCATCCTTGATTAAAGATCGACGAGCCCGATCAAAAAGAAGGCACGACGGCGCTAAAGAGACAACCGTTCGTGCTGCATAAAGCGGCGGTCGCCATCCCAGATTAGAGATCGACGAGCCCGACCGCGAGAACTAGACACGATGGCGCTGAAGAGCGAGCCGCTCGTGCTGCATAAAGTGGCGGTCGCCGTCCTAGATTAAGGATCGATGAGCTCGATGAAAAAGAAGGCACGACAGCGCTGAAGAGCCAGCCATTCGTGCTGCATAAAGTAGTGGTCGCCATCCCAGATTAGAGATCGACGAGCCCGACCGCGAGAACTAGACACGATGGCGTTGATGGGCTGATTGTGCTGCATGAGATGGTCCTTACGTTGCCATGGTCATTGTCGTGGTCCTTACATTGCCATCGTCGAATGAGAACTAGACACGATGGCGCTGAGGGGCCGATCGTGCTGCATAAGATGGTCTTTGCTGTGATATGGACTTATGTTGCCATGGTCATAGCCATGGTCCTTACATTGCCATCGTCGAACGAGAACTAGACACGATGGCGCTGAGGGGCCGATCGTGCTGCATAAATGGTCCTTGGTGTGATATGGACTTATGTTGCCATGGTCATAGCCATGGTCCTTACATTGCCATCGTTGAACACGAACTAGACACGATGGCGCTGAGGAGCCAGCCGTTCGTGCTGAGAAAGAGTAGACAGTGGTAAGTCCAACTCCAAGCTAAGTTTTTTCATCCTGTGTTTAGCATCTATCTTAGTCTTTCCATTGTATTTAGCATTTTTTCATCCCTTGTATCTTCGGGACGGTAGCTCTGAAGAATAAGAGGATTTCACTGTGGTGAGTCCAACTACGGTGGTGAGTCCACTTCCAAAGCCGATTTATCTTAATCTTTCCATTGTGTAGCATTTTTTCATCCCTTGTATCTTCCGGACGATAGCTCTGAAGAATAAAGAGGATTTCACTCCTATGTAAGTTTTTCTTTACTTGTCTTATGCTTTCCTGATCCTTTTCATCTGTTTGTACAATTTCGTATCGATCGGTTTGTACCTGTCTTTCAACCATAGCTTCGATCCCCCGTTCGATCTGCCTGGGTTTGACCCGACGTCCGCTCGGTTCGTTCATGTTCGTGGTTTAACATCATCTTCAAACTGGTTTGAAGCCCTTGTTCGGCCATCCGGAATGCAAGGTCAAACCTAGCTAAGACGATGGCTCTCCTGCAGACCGAAGTGAGGATCCTCGTTCGGTCATCCAGAACGATTCACGTACACTTGTGGTTGAGGGGAGGCTTTTAACCATAGCTTCGATCCCCTGTTCGGTCCGCCTCAGTTTGACCCGGCGTCCGCTCGGCTCGTCCATGCTCCTGGTCGAACATCATCTCCCAACTGGTTTGAAACCCTCGTTCGGTCATCCAGAACACAAGGTCAAACCTAGCTAAGACGATGGCTCTCCTGGAGACCGAAGTGAGGATCCTCGTTCGGTCATCCAGAACGATTCACGCACACTTGTGGTCGAGGGGAGGCTTTTAACCATAGCTTTGATTCCCCGTTCGATCCGCCTGGGTTTGACCCGGCGACCGCTCGGTTCGTCCATGCTCCTGGTTTAATATTCACCTGGATAGCTAACTCATGACCAATAATCTTCGGGTCTATGTCTGACATATCTTCTGGTCCCCTAGCGAACAGAACCTGGAACTCCATGATTACTGCCTAAAGCGGCGGTTCCGACCCTGAGTGGTATGGGTGGACTCGATCGTGATCTGGATACGATGGCGCTGAGAGGCCAATCGTGTTGCATAAGACGGTGACCCCCCTATAAAGGCGTGGGAGGACCCAACTGTGATCTAGAATGTGTGAGGGTCTTGCGGGCTCCCTCTGTCCATGGTACGATGGCGTTGTGGGGCCGATCGTACTGCATAAGACGGTGATCCTCCCCCTGTAAAGGCGTGGTGGGAACCGACCGTGCCGGACAGTGGATGTCAGGTTGCCCGTCCTGGAGTGTGATCTAAATGCTAATCTCACGGCCCTCGGCCGCGATGGTCTCGTTGGGGCCCACGACCTCCTGGTTGATATGCTCATCGCACGGCCCTCGACCGTGATGGAGTCCTTGGGGCCCTCGGCCTTCTAGTGGATACGCTCGTCTCACGGCCCTCGACCATGATGGTCTCGTTGGGGCCCTCGACCGTGATGGTCTTCTTGAGCCCCCCGGCCTCCTGGTGGGAAATGCTCGGGTCACGGCCCTCGCCCGTGATGGTCTTCTTGAGTCCCTCGGCCTCCTGGTGGGAAATGCTCGTCTCACGGCCCACGGCCGTGATGGTCTTCTCGAGTATGTCGTGATACCTACACACTTGTAGTCTTTCTCTTTTCTTTTCTTTCTCTTTTCTTTTCTCTCTTTTCTTTTCTTTTCTTTTCTTCCTCTTTTCTTTTCTTTCTCTTTTCTTTTATTTTCTTTTCTTTCTCTTTTCTTTTCTTTCTTTTTTTCTTCTTTTCTTTCTCTTTTCTTTTGCCAATTATGAATGTCTCTGTGCCTCATGATCTCCCCGTTCGAGCTGACCGAACGGCTCTGAATGTAAATATTCCTTCTTTTCGTTGCCAGTCATGAATGTATCTATGCTTCATACCGAATGTCATTGATTTCCCCACTTGAGTCTATCGAACGTCTTGTAATGATTCTCTTTACGTTGCCAGTCATGAACGTCTCTACGCTTCATGCCGAGTGTCATTGATCTCCCCGCTCGAGTCTATCGAACGACTTTGCTTCTTTTCTTTGCCGGTTATGAACGCTTCAAGGATCTCCCAACTCGAACATACCGAATGGCTTCCACTGCATAAGAAACATAGCAATACGGCCGCACAGCCGAACAACACATATATCCATACAATGCACGTGTATAAAGTTTCTTTCGTTTCATTCATGATTACCGGGCGAAGTGGTATAATAACTCTCGACTTAGATTCATTTTTCGCACTGCCCAAGTGCTATCGGAACCACCTAGTGGTTTGCTGGGCGCTTCTCAAAAATAGCCCTAGCTAATCAAAGTACGTACATCGCTCCATCATGGGCATGGTTGCCATTCCGTCACTTGGTGTCGTGCGAAACCATGTACGATTTTAAATTAAAATGTGTCATCGGGCAACGCCTTTGCGGGACACTCTCAGTCGGCTACTTTGAGCCGATCGGGATGGGCCGATAGGCCCTAAACCAATCATTTAACTAAATGATGGTGAAGTCATCACCAGAGCTTCGCTCGATCATGATTAAATTCGGGATATTTTAATCCCTAATAGATAATGATGATAACAAACATTCTCAATAATGTTATTTGAAATTAATTCGGAATTAGGAGTTGGGTAGTTAGTTGAATAAGGCTCAATTTCAACTGTCAGGCCAAGTTATGGGCCTGGAGATTTTAATCAACCATGGTGATCCAGCCCAATAATTGATACGGTAACCCCAAGTGCGGAATGAGTTGAAAGCTTCAGTAGCGGGTCGTCCCATGTTTTTGTAATTCAGCCCATATGCGTGAGATTTAGAAAGCCCATCAATTCATTGGTCATACCATCCTTCCTCTCCCAGTTAGCCCCATACCAAAGTACCCAACTAAGTTGGTGATTCACCGTACATCTTTTCCTTGCCAATAGAGATTCCCAGGGGAACCAAACGTCCGCTCGGTGGAGCTTCACAAAGGGCCAATTCCAGAATACCCGCTGAATCGCGTAGGTGCCGTCGTGCCGATCGGGAATTTTCTGGACGGTGTCTTGTCAGACGGAGTTTCTTGGACGGCCAAGAAAAGTCTCGAGCCGCAGTCCTGCCGAACGGGATCCGTGAACCTGAGCAGGAAGAATGGCCGAAGGTCTGGACTGAGCAGCAAGATCGAGTGGAGTGGTGTGTCAGGTGGTGAGATGATCCGCGGCTGGATCTGTTGTATTCCCTAACGACCACTCACACACGTTTGGGTACAGGAGGATGGTGCCGAGCGGTGGCAAGGAGCAGCAGAGACAAGGCCGTACGGCAGGATTGTATGAATTCCAAGACCGTATGGGAGGCTCAACCTGTCCCCACTCATTTGGGGGTGGAGACCGAGCGGCAATCAAACGCTGTTGGCGTTGCACCCCGAGCAAAAAATCTTATCTGTTAGCGATCCACGGGGTTCTCAGTTCGAATGATGTTCACCGAGCGGTGACGATCGGCACCCCTCCTTATCTTTCTTCTGGTAGTTACCGGTGGGGCTGTGGGGGCCGGGACTATACAGCCACCTGTTCTGGAAATGAGCGGGGAGCTGCAATTTTGCCTCGCTCATCTCAGTCGGTCGGCAGGAGCTCGTGCGGCAATCTGACTTTCCGGATTGGGCGACATAGTGATTAAGCTGAGCGGCCAGATCGGTGTTGGTTGATGGGATCACCGGGGGTGGTTCCTTTGGTGCCTGTGTTCTCGTTCGCAGTTGGGTTGTTTGGGGAAGCAATCAGTCGCCGATATCCCATAGACTTCTCATCTCCTTATAACACTTCCCATTTACTTTTATATATGTTGAAGTTAAATCCCGTAAATCCGAAAGTCCAACACGAACTTTGGATATATCAGGAATGGTACAGAATTAAAGTGTATAACCAAAATATAAAATATGAACTTACTAATACTCGAAAGCTCACTTGTATTAATTAACCAGTCTGATTACAAGGAAATTCTCGATCGGTAGGTCGGAAACAATGCTTTAATACAAGAAATAAGAGCAATAATGCTATTCTAGAGCCCGAGTATTGAAATGCTAACTCTTACAATGATTTTAAACCTTCTATTTATACTAATGGAGAGCATGGGCTGCCCTATGCTAATTGCCTGTTGTTCCACCGACTTGGTCACCCATGTTTCCACTTGCTGATGTCACAATCTGGCATTAATTGCACCTGGCCACTTGACGGTTGTCCGTTGCTCGAACGGGATGTTGGACTATGCTGAAGACGCTGCCAAATTGGCCCAAGTATGATATATAGCTCGAACTCCGTTCGGTATGTCTTCTTACTGGGCCAACCCTTACTTGGGCCGAATCTCGTTCGGCATGAATTCTTCACTGGACCTACTCATCATAGAGTGATGGGCCCGTTGCTTGGCCCGGGTATCTTTGGGCCTTCTTGATCCGGGTATTGGGCCTCTGGATCAATATCCCAACAATATAAATCATGTATTGGACCTTATGAAATGTTTATGAATTTATGAGGTTGTAAATTTTGTTATTAATTTGCGTGAATAGTAATTTGCACGTGGGGCCCACATCGGGAGCGGGGACCACTCTGTATTCCCGAAACCACATATTATGTTATATTCATCTTGGGCTAGATAATATGTATATGGTGGTGGATATCCTAGTTGGGCCATAGAAAGGGCATGGAGTTGACCGATTGGTCAAACAGGGCCCAATTGCCGATATCGGTAATTTATCGGATAATAGTCTGAAATGAGTTTCGGAGACTTCTAAATTAAATATGAAGGATGTATATTCATTCTAAGGGTCCCTATGGGTTGAGAGTGTGTGATATATTTTATTTGGCCCGATAAAATAAAATATAATTAAAACAGTCCGAGAAATACAACTTTCGGGACCGATTGTACAGTTCGGGACATAAAGGGATGACCTCTCACGTGAGTGGGGGCCACCCCACGTTTTAGTGTGCTCAAAGTCAATTGAGACAACCAAATAATGCAAGATGAGGGGCTATGGGCTGGAGGTTGAAGGATTGGGTGAGGAGGGGACTTGAGGTGGACCTCACCCCTCTTATTGTGCATTTGAGACAAAATAGTCATCTCCACCCTCCCCCTACCATAACTCCGATCGAGCAAGTGATAAAGGAGAGAGAATCCTCTGCAAATCACCATCCCTCCATAGCCAAGAAAACTCAAGCAAGCAAGGAGCTCAAGGAAGAACAAAAGGGTTACAAAGTAGAGAAAAACCTTTGGTGTTAAGGTAAGAAGCTCTTTACTATCTTTTCTTCCACCTTTCATCTATCATATGGGTTATGAATCATATGAGGAACCCCTAGGATTGTTCTACATGTTTAGGAGTGTAGAATGAAGGGTTGGAAGGTAGTAGTAAGTCCAAGAACGGACTTAGAAGCCAAAGTGACCGGTTCACAGGGAAATAACCTTTTAAAGGTTATTTGTATTGATATGGGTTTTATGATGATAAAACCTTGTTAGGAACTTGCATAAGGTGTTCCTATAGCTTCACGGAGTTGAAAGAGTCGCCGGAGTGTTGACCAGAGTTTGTCAAAGTTCGTCGGAGCTTCGTCAGAGCTTCGCCGGAGCTTCGCCGGAGTCCAACCGGGAAGGGTAGAACTTCTTAAAGCTCATTCGATGTGAGTGGATGGCTTAATGTCTTGTAACTCTTGGGTTAAGTATGAGATTACCTAAGTAAATGCTATATGTGTTCATGATGATGGTTAAATGGTTTAAGCATGTGATTAGCCAAGATGATTAGGCTTATATGAGATGAACCATAATGATTGTGCATGAAAAATGATATGAAAATGATATAAAAACATGTGTGATGTTTTGGATGGCCAAAATGGCAAATATTGATTGTTTAAGACTTAATTCATGTTTGGGTTAAGTTTCGGATCAATCGGAGTCGGTTCGGGTGGTCAATGGGTCATTGACCGCAAAGAAGAAAGCGAACCGGTGCCGGTTTAGGCTATAACCGGCGCCGGTTTGAGTACGGGGCAACTGAATTAAATAAATTAAAGGTGAACCGGCGCCGATTATGGCTGAACCGGCGCCGGTTAGGTGTTGTGTTTGACCCGAATGATGATTTTCATGCATGGTTTTGCATGGATTGTTATGCTTAGGCTATAAGACTTGATCTGGCCTTGAATAAATGATTATGAAATAGACCCTACCTAGATTGATATGAGGAAGATCATAGGAATACATATGATGGAGACCCAAGGACGAAAGAGTCCTCAAAACTTATATGCATATGGTGGAGAACCCAGGGACTAAAGGGTCCTCAAAACTTGGAATATATATTTCGGTGGAGAACCCAAGGACTAAAGAGTCCTCAAAACTTATATGCATATGGTGGAGGACTCAAGAGCTAAAGAGCCCTCAAAACTCATGGTGGAGGACCCAAAGACTTTAATGTCCTCAAAACTCATATGTATAAATGGTGTAGAACCAAGGACGACGGTACTGTCCTCAAAACTCAGAATATGAATTGATTAGGACCAGGAGGAGTTCTATACACTCATAGGTATATGGGTGGGTTGGGATTTGAGTCAAGGATATTGAAAACTACTACTATTTTCCCAAACAAACAATGACCTACGGGTCGGGTATTTCCATATATATATATATATATATATATATATATATATATATATATATATATATATATATATATATATATATATATATATATATATATATATATATATATATATATATATATATATATATATATATATATATATATATATATACTGATATGTATTTCATAACTTAGGGGAAAGTACTATACGTGTATGTATCACCCTATGTTTGGGTCTTATACTTGAAACGTTAGTTACTCTACATTTAGCTTGCTACTTGCTCGGTACTTGTACTGACCCCTTCGGGGGGCCCACCATTTTTAGGTTGAAGTTAGGGCTTGCTACCTGCACCTTCTTACGGGTGAACTCAAATCAAGGAAGACGTGGTTCGTGCTTCCTTATTTCCTTTCAAACTATCAAACACTTGCTCATGGATATTTGATTTACTATAAACTATTTTGGGCCTGCGAGCCCATGTTTTGGCCGGTTGTGGCCCATGCTTTACCGCTGAATATTTCCGCTATTCATTGGGTTGAATGTGATGTTGTTATGTATGTTTACTACTGAGTATGGATGGATTATGTTCATGGACGCCTTGTACGATTAAGTCATGTGACTTGCGAGTGACATCACTTGGTCATACGGCGGTTGACACGCGCTTAGATGCGGTCTGGGGCGTGACACTCCTAATAATGGGGCTGCCTTTTTGAATTGTTTTGGTTCGAACTAATGCTCGAAGCTGAGCAACCCGTGTAAACTGGATAATCTCGTTCGAGACAGCTACCTCAAAAATGGGTTATTCTCTTTAATTGTTTTTAAATGGATAAGAGTTTTCACCTGTCAAGTCACACTGTAGCCCTCACGTGGGAGCAAAGGGCTACCACAAGTGGGTAAGACTTGGGAACTGTGCATCGTGCCCCTGGTTTGGGACGGTGCTGCTAGCACCTCCTCTACCCCTAGCGCGGCCGCAACTGGTTTCTTCGAGCAAGGACCTTCCAACTTGGTTGATGGTGGCCACCACGGACAGTGAGGGCGGTTGCGCTTCAGATCTAGCAACCCGCCAAGACTTCCAGATTCTTCAGCTCACTTTCCTTCTTTTTTTCGCTTGAATGAAATCCATTGAAATCCATTGTCTTCTGATACGTTCGTAATTTCCATATTTATGTTTATGTTTTTAATTTGTTTTGCTTGACTTTTACTTTGGAAATTACACACTTTTGGTGTAATAGATTAGATTGTTAAATTCTTGTAAATAGGTTAGATTAGATTTAATCTGAGCTTAAACAGGTTTTTGGTCACTCAAAGAACAGTTGGTGAACCCAAAAAGTGAAGAGAAGGTGCAAAAGTTCAAAGACAAAAGAAGATTCTGAAATTTGGTCTATACTCGGTCGAGTATTAGCTATACTCGATCGGGTATTAGGTTGGAACTTCAAATCGGATCAGATCCGAAGACAAGGGAACATGCAGGGAAGATTTTGGCCACGATTTTATGTCTATACCCGATCGGGTAGACCGACATACCCGATCAGGTATGCCTTTGAATTGCAAACGAAGATCGGTCGAGTATGGCCCGAATACCACTTTCTAAGCATACTCGGCCGGGTATTCATATATACTCGATCGAGTATACACTTAGAAAATAGCCTGAAACCGGTCGAGTATGCCTCGGATCGAGTGTTACACACATACTCGATCGGGTACCATGTATATACCCGATCGAGTACCCGAATCCCATCCCCAAAAACCTATAAATACACCCCCTTTCCTTCACAAAAAGAAATCCAATTCCTTTGTACATCTAAGCTCAGTATAGAATAGCTCTTTCTTTATATTTTTCATCATGTTTAGTCTCCAAATGAGGAGCTAAACTCTTCCATCTTGGTTTTGCTACTTTGAAGCTTAATGAATTTGTAAGTTGTGAGTTATTTTTCTTTAATCTTCTTCCTTGAATATTAATTCTTTCTTTCAAAATACTATCTCTATATCAAAGTTGGGGAGTGTTACTAAGATGACAATTAGTTAACATCTTCACATTGGTTATAGTAATAGCTATTTCTTCCTCTATGATAATATTGGGGAGTGTTGCTAAGATGACAATTAGTTAACATCTTGATATTAATCATAGTAGGATTCATATATTTTAATATTCTTCCTTGAGTATTAATATTAATTCCTATTCATATTTCATTTTAATATCTTAAACATTACTTAAAGTATCAACTAGTATTGTTTCTCATATTAATTATTACTAGAATCGATCGGTTAATACGCTTGTTATTAATCCGGTTCTTTCAACGGTAGTAAACTTGGAATATTAATGCATGCATCTCATGGTTAATATGCCAAGGGGAATTAATTATATTGATTGAACCAATAAACCGCTTGTGTTGAGGTTATCAATCTCAATCGTTTTCATCTTAAGTTTAT